TTTGTTATTATTTATATCAACTTATCCCTTTCAGTAAGACATCCGTCTTTAAAAAAAAGGCTGGCAGACAATGGGTGTCGGCATAAGAAAGTTTTCACTGTATTTGTATTATAAATTTAAAATTTTACTTATAAGTCACTGCTTTTTATTTGATCTTAAATTTAATGAAAACAATGCAACTTCACAATATGATTAATGACATCTCAAATATATGAAAAAATTTTGTTATCTCGATGTTTATTCTCATCTATAATAATATAATTTTTAAGATAAATTCTTTTCATTAAGCTTCTGTAAATATATTGGTCAAATAAAGTTTCTTCAGTACTTTTAGTTAGAAATATTAATACTAATATTTAAAAATAATATTCAAAAAGACAATATTTATTGAACAAATGCTTAAAATATATACACACATATTTAAATTAGATATATATGTTGATTAGAATATGAAATTATTTTTAATTATTAAACTTAACCATCATTATATATTTATTTTGTTTACACTTTATGATGTTTATTTGACAGTACTAATAAATTAATAAATGAACTTCACTTATTAAATTCGTATTTGATATAAAAATATTTTTAAATTCCATTAAAAAGACATGAGCACTATTTTAACAGGCCTGACTATGCAATACAAAAGTATCTGCTTTGATTCGGTAAACTTTATAACACCATTAAAAATTTAATTCAAATATTTATATAATGTATAATATAATAAATAACAAACGAATTTATTTAAATCACAGATGACAAAGAAACTTTCTGTTAAGAGGAAATATTTTTAATTTTTATTTATAATTAAAACAAAACTCACAGTTAAAAAATAAATATCTTTTCTAATCACTCGTAGACTTAAAATCGCTCTATTTGTGTGCTTCTCCTTCGGTAACCCAATCTAAAATATTTGCAAATTTTGAAATTTGAAGCTTTTATTGCAGGTTTTAAATGGGAATAAAAACTTTAAAATAAAAATGTTTAGTTTTAGCTTATATTGTTAGTAAATATCTAATAGAATGACATGCAAGAATTGTTTGAAAAAATTAAAAAACTTTGCTACGCACTTCTGTCTTCTCTCTTCTATCGTAGAGACAGAACGTCTATTGTTGATAACGAATAAAATTATAAAATTTATTCAAAAATTAATTGAAAAAAAAAATTAAGATACTTCAAAATGTGGCAGTACGTCATATCAAATTTGATTACGAAACAACAATAAACTCTATACAAATATTAATAAATAAACTAAAAAAAAACAAAAATGTTAGGATTTCATGAATGTAGAGTAATTTAAAGAGAAATGTCTTTGGATCTCTCCAATAGTTTTTCGAGTTTTACGTTTGTTTTTAGGTTCAAGCGTAAAGTATTCACATTTATACTCAATGGCTAAAGTTGTGGTTACTCATTATTAACCTTTTTTCTTTAAGTTATATGTATAATGTTATGTGCAGTGGTGAGACAAAAGATACGAACATGCAAAATAAATTTCTATGAAAATACTATGTTTTCTAAGATATACTAAATTAATCCCATAGAACATATATCTGTATCTTAAAGTCTTGCACTGTATACCCTACACTTTTGTATACGATTATTATATGAATTCTTTTATTGATTTTATTAAGAACGTATGTATTTAAAATACTTTATGCAATGGTCGTTATTAGTACTTAATTTCTTATTAGAAAAACTATACGATTATTATGTATATAGTAGTAGAATAGAAAGAGAAATTAACAGAATACTGGACTCCTAACTATCAGAGCACAGCAACTATAACAGATCTTTTGTGCTAGTAATTGATTTTAACCGAACAGTAGACGCTCAATTATTTAAATATAAGCTTTAACATCAGATGGAACGTAACGTTCTCTTTCTGGTTGCAATCAAAGCCAGATAGTGATATACTTAATATATGACACTATGTCTTTTCTATTTCCTATCGGATCATCTCTGTGAGATGAAAACGCAGGCCATGAGGATCTTATGGTCTTACTGAGGACAGACATCTTGCCGTAGTTGTAAGGACGAACTAAATTTTCAACCTTTGGGTTGCCCGGAATTATATGTTGGTAGATTTAGACTTAGTTGTAGATTTATTTCCTACTCACTAAAGTGCTTGTGAGATCATCTATGGATTAATTATCGTTTATATATTTCAGTATGGCCAAGTACCTAGCAAAGTACTTTCTGATTTGTTCTTGTCAGTTACTGTAGCCAAAATATATCATGTCTCTTAGAGGAGAATGCTTTGATTGCTGCTTGACTATCTATGCAGATGTAGATATAGGCGTTTCCCAATCCTTTGATAAGATTTGTTCCAATGCTGTTATATGCAAGAAATCAGTCTATAGGCAGAGTTTTAACTGTTAAGACCTGCAGATGAAGTATTTTTTACCATAATACTCAGATATTTAACTTCTTTTTGAGTACTCTGCCGCTTCCAAAATTCATTCCTATCTATCAAATTTGTATTAAAACTCTTCTCTATGCAGATGATGTAGAGCTTATGAACGGTTTTTTATAAGCAATGCAACCAATTGTGATGGATTGCATTATTTCCGTTTATGTAGAAGCAGAATATAAATAGATCCGATGGTAGATAATCTTTGACCCACGCTTTAAGTTCAAAACTGAAGAAAATATATAGTATGTACTATAAATGTAGCCACTATTATCAAAAGCTGGCAACCCTACTACTTACGGGCAAGTTGCGAGTTTATTAGAACGCATCAAGCAGTACAGAAAGATTGTCAGTTGGATTATATTATATATACTTTGAAAATAATTGTAAACTCATATTATAAAGTAATAAAACTAATTAATAATTTTGTATATTACATAAATATAAATAGTTCTAAAGCTATACGTAAGTTATCGAGTATTGTTGGTCTTTATAATAATATGTATAAACCAGTGGCGGAGGTAGACCAACTCTGTACATTGGCGACATCAGATTTGCGAGGCCTCTTTTATAACCCAGATGTAAAAGTAAATAAGTTACATTCACTAATACGATAAAGCATGATTGAAAGTTTTATTGCTAATCAAATTAAAATAAACACAAATTAAAATGAATGAATTTTCCTACTTTTAGCCTCACACAATTTTTTTTTAATTATATCATAATTTGCTCCAGCTGCTATTTTGGCTTCAGTTTATGGAATTTCCAATGGAGATAGTCTCTCTTGGATCATCATACTTTTCTAGTACGTCTTAATCAATTTTAACTTTGAGAAGCTTCTTTCCGTCGAAGCTGTAATGACTGGAACTGTGAACATGAATCTGATTACTATATAAACATTCGGGAATACTTCGAATATGGTTAATGCCATTATCAAACCAAATTGTTCAAAATATTTATTAAGTGCTTAGAATCCACAGTCGGTAACTTTCTGCGAAGCCCCTGTGGCCGCGAGGACGTCGGCGTTTGCCGACATCGCTGACGCCTAGTACGCCACTGGTATAAACACTTCTTCTGTTTGAAATGAAGAAAATATCGACTGAAATTTTCACCGGTAAAGTGAAAATTCGGATTCTTATTAGAATCGTTTGGTCACATTATCTTTTTTATGTAACATTATGAACGGTTTCATATAGTATTATATTCTTTTTTAGTATATAATAATTTAGTTGCATTTTATATTTATTTTGACTATAAACTTACGGCAATTACTGGTATAATTGTCTGTTGTAATTATTATTGGATATATGTATAGTGTATTAATAATTCCAAAATGTGTTCAATAAAAATTAATTCGATATTAATATAATTCTTTCAAAAATATACTTTTTTATTTTTTAAACACTCAATTATTTATGATTAATTTTTTTTTTGTTGTAGTTTTTTTATTTTTCAATAATAATCGCTGTAATAACTAATCGTTTTGGTTATCTCAAATATTATCTAAAGTTGAATAAATTTATCTACTTTTTAGTATTTAAAAATTTGTTTCTATTAAATAACTTAAAGCTCACATGTGTTTTCAATACTCAGATATATATATGTACTTCATAAGTATATTCGTACAATTAAACTGTATATTGTGTTAAGTAGGTTGATTGAACTGGTTTTGGTTTTTCTCAGCAAATTTGTTAGATTTATAACCTGCAATATTTATTGTATGTAATTAGATTAAATTGCTTATAATTACATAATTACACACGTATTTAAATATTTTAAAATATATTCATTTAATTGCTGAAAAAAAAATTGAGGAACTGATTTGTAAGGTCTCTTTTTAATCTATAATAAATTCCAGAGAAGTTCGCATGTATGTCAGTCAACTGTTAGCTTTATGTAAATTTTTTGTGTTCATCATTAAATATGTTAGCATATGAAAAAATTATATATATTTTAATTTTTGTTTTTGTTTTTGTACATTTTTAAAATTTAATTATATTTTGAAGTGTAGTTTAGGTTTGAATTTGTCATGTCATTGTTATTACGACAATTTTATAGTGGATTTTCATCATTAAATTGATTCGATTCACGTTTTGGCATAAGCAAATCTTTAATAGTAAATAATACATGTTAAGTAATGTATATAAGTATAAAAGTAATATGTGTTTTTATATTATAGTTTGTATATAATTTATTTTAAGATAATGTATACTATAAATATAATTTTTCTAATGACATTTTAATTATCACTTTTCCGGTGACTAAAAACGTGAGTGGACAATTTTTAGGTGAACTTGTTTGTTTTTTTAGTTGAATTTAATAAATTTTTGGTTTCTACTATATAAACTTTATATATAACACAACTAGTTATTTATTAGGTCAGTTCAAACAAACAGTTTGTTTACTTCTGGATAGTGTCTTAATACCTTCGTCAAGTTTCACACGTATTCGAAGGTGAAAGTATATGATTTTCTACGCTAAATTCTGTTTATTTTTCAGAAAAATTTAATCAAAAATACACCAGATATATAGATCGTATATCTTGTGAAACCGTTAATGTTTTCATATAAGTAATATTTTTAATATTATGTACTATATATAGCCATGGCTGATAATCTCGATTTATAAAATGTTTATAAAAGCCAGATCGGTTTATAAAATTTAAGATATGGACTTGTAACAATATGCCAAAAATAAAATAATAAAAATATTTTTAAAGCTCAGAGTTTATAAAACTTAGAAAAAAATTAAAAAAATTTTCCCGAGACTGAGATTAATTTTTGTTGAAATGCGTTCTGGTTGTAACAGAATGACTCGAATACTATATATAAATTGCACGATTAAATCATCTGAAAATGACTTCAAACTAAGAATTATATGCAACAGAAATTACAGAATTAAGACATCGGAATGGAATATCTAAGTTGATGAAGAATATGTAGCGATCAGTATTGAAGATGTATATATAAAATCTATATACATATATGCTAATGCTTGTATAATTTCAATATCGATTATTACATATTCCTCATCAACTTAGATATTCCATTCCGATGCCTACATTCTGTATATATATATAATCCAGTTTTAAATACGTAACAAAATCTTCAGCTCTCTATTTTCTGTGCTTATATACATTAAGACTGAAAAGTTTTCGGAAATTCTCATTTAAAATTCGCGCGCTGTATATTTTTCGATATTTTAAGTTTATGTAGTTTGGCAGCACTGTCCTTAATTACTATGCCAAAAATGAGCTCGATCTGTCAGACAGTTCGTTTACGGCAGCTGTTGAAACCAGTTCACCTCAGTAGTGCGTTGCGAAATGTCTTCGACGGTCGTACGACCGTCCTGGAAGGCTTTGTACCACTCATAAACTTGAGTTTTCGATAAAACTGATTCCCCATAAGCCTTTTGTAGCATTCGCAACGATTCTGCACACGAAATTTCGTTCGAAACACAAAATTTGATGCAAACTCTTTGTTCAATATTTTTTTCCATTGTTTTTTTCGCAACGCCCTACTGAGGTGAACTGGTTTCAACAGCTGCCGTAAACGAACTGTCTGACAGATCGCGCTCATTTTTGGCATAGTAATTAAGGACAGTGCTGCCAAACTACATAAACTTAAAATATCGAAAAATATACAGCGCGCGAATTTTAAATGAGAATTTCCGAAAACTTTTCGGTCTTAATGTATGATATGAGTCAGATATGAGCAGTGCGACGATTGCAGTTGTAGATAGACATATAGCTTTTCAAAACTTTCCTAAAACTAATTATGAAAAAGTTTTAAATTTCTAAATATTTCACAGAATATACATATACACCTAAAATATTCGCTTTCTGAAACTTAATGAGTCATCTATTTTAGATGATGTTTCAAAGCGCCAATTGCGTGACGATTATTCCTTGCGTAATCCCTAATAAAAAGTCTAGTGGTGACAAATGCATAACTTTAGTGGCTTCGCGGCAGTTTCTCAAGTAATAAATCAAAAAAGATGTGTTGTGTGGTTTGTGGCATCGTTCTCTTAAAGTCACATTTGTACACATCCATAAATTCAATATCTTTAATATTACGCCAATAAAGTTGGTAATCGTGTGGTTATGGCGATCAGAATCAACAGTTTGTCACATTTTTGAAATTTTTCAAAATGTGCGGGGCTTTTAAACCAAACACCTTATCGTATAGTGATTTTTTGTGAATGGAGGAGTGTTCTTTCAGAAGTTAGTTTTGGATTTCTATTGCCCCCGATACGGCAATTTCGTTTGATATATCATCACTTAAGTTATTCAATGCAAAAATCACCACCATTTTTATAATTAGTTTTTAAGATCGTAATACATTCAGCGTATATGTAATTGCAATATAGCAAATCTTAAACTCACATGTGATGCCTAGAATTATAGTTTTGTCTGTGATATGTTAACAAAACTATGCTGCCAAATCATGATCATGAAAATAACGCTTTACCATACTTTTAAGATTAGATAAGATTTAAATATATAGCAGATCACTGCGTCCAAAGTAGACGTACAACTGACACTGAACTAATAGAAGACATTTAACTTTTAAATGAAGGTTAGAACGTCCCTTGTTAAACAGTTTATTATATTAGATTATGGCAAGAATTACGCTTCTAACTGTTTAAGATCATGCAAAGTCGTATATGGCTAGAAACCTCATCTCTTTCAAGCAAAGACATCAATCTGTCACCTAAGATAAATTCTTTCTGTGTAAATGGTAACGTAAATTATTTCATCAGATAACCCACCTTTAACTTGAGTTTTGTCCTACAGTTGAGGTTTATATCTTTATACAAAACAGATTATACAAGCCTGAGTTTTAGTTTTTAATCAATTATTTATCACCAATTGTGATAAATTTTTAGATATATTGTAATTTATTATAAATTATTATTATAATGACTTTAAAATTCTAATAACTAATTACAAAGATTTTAATACTATTTATTTACAAACAGTTACATATAATTTGTAAATTTATTTTTCTACTAAAAAATAAAATCTTTTTTATCAATCAAAATCTTCAAAATTGAGTACTCCACGTCTATGATAGAAAGGAAAGAGATCCTTCATAGCTTCGACATATAAGGGATTCGTAAAAGTTCGCATTCGAAATTGTTCTCCAAATTCATCTGTTCGCATCAGTGAGTGTATATTACTGTCCTTATCGGTCGGTAATAGTACGGCAACCAGATGATTGTAGACAGCCATGAAAGCTAAAATTAAAGAGTTTAAATTTATAAATATATTTTTAAAAAACATTACTATTATTTACAATGGTATATATATGTATGTAGAAACGAATTTTGATTACTTTAAGTATATGTATATATATATTATATCTATATATATTATATATATATATATATACCTATAATTATTGTATAATACATGGAAATAAATACAAAAGTTATAGCGGTTTAATTTGACACAAGTGCGTACTGTTGATCGAAAATTTGAATATATTAGATTAAGAATCCAAATAGACTTAACCGAGAATTTTAACAGAAGAGAAATAAAAAATAAAGTCAATTTGTTTTTTATACAAGTCAATGAGAAGAAAACAAGTCTAACGCGTAATGAAATTTTGAATTAAATGGGAGCTCGAATTACTTCTCTCTCACATTATGAAGTTTCTAGTCAACTTAAGATTTAATATTATTAACATAAATATTTTGGAGACATTGTAATATATATATTTTTTATGTTAATAAATCTTCTATTGTTAAGCAGATTGAAAAATAATAGAAAAAAAATTATTTATATGATGAATTTACTCACCATAAAATGTAGAGTGTGCCTTGTAAGTTCCCATTTGTAAATCTCTTAATTTTGGTGGCGTGCCATTATACTTCAGAAGTTTTAAATTTTCTATTAAAAACTCATAATAGATTTCAATGAAATGATCGTATTCAGTTAAGCGAATGTCTTTAGCAGCTGATATGCTAATAAAGAAGACCAAATCTTCGGTTGGACAACCCCATTTACAAATTTGATAGTCCACAAAAAGTAATCGATCAATTGCGCCATCTGGTAAATAATTTAACATAATATTACTAGACCAAAAATCACCATGTGTAAGTACATTAAAGCCATTAACATCGATGTCCAAAGTAGCCATGCCACTTTTAGTAAATTGCTCAAAGGTGGGCTATGTTGTAAAGTAAAGTCAATTATTTCTATCTTGAAAGTAATCACTTATATAACAGTATTACGAGTATTACTTACTATTTTATCAATATAATTTTGAGCATTTTCTAAACCCCATTTTGCCATTGCTGCTTTATAAGTTGTAACTTTATTTGTGTACATAAACTTCATATCTTCATTTATTTTATCGGCATTAAAAAAACTGTACTGGAAATCTGTTGGATATGGTCCATGCTTCTGCGCATACACCGCGGAAACTGCATGTAATTCAGCTAATCTTTCTAATACACGTTTCATGTGTGCCATATCGAAACCTTTCAATCGATCTACATTCTGATAACCTCTTGGTTTCAGATCTTCAAATACTAGATTAATGCGTTCATCTAAATTTTCTATAAAGAGACATTGTGGTGCCAATTGCACCTTTTTTCCAGCTGCAACATAAAGTGCTTCAAATGCTGGTAAATATTTTTCATAC